ACCGCTCCTGGCTGGCGGCCAACTCTGAGAGTGCCATTTTGGGATTCCTGATCGGCGGATCGGGTAGGACTCATTTAAAACTTTGTCTCCCATTTTTCTCCCAGAGCTGTACATTTCCTCATTTCCCCTTCCCTTGTAAATAAACCTTTTATTAACCTTTCGCGTGTGCCTGCAGTAGAGCATTGATAAATCCTTTTAAGCGCGCGGGTGAGGACCCACAGTCAGGCACCCCGTTTTGTATCGGGGTTGCTCTACAACACATTGATTCTGGTCTAGAACTGTTATAGGACAGGGAGAGGGGCAGCTCAAACCCCGCAAACCTTCCTATTCTATATAGGGTTCTGCCATCTGCCGCATCAACACAAAACATATGAGACTTTAATGGGAAGGAACTTTAATAAAACTAGGAAACAATACAGGAAAGGCAAGGAATCTAGTTTCTAAATGAAGCACCCAAAGTTACCCGTCCCCTCGTGGGTAAAAGTCCATCCATATGGGATCGGCCAAGAGCAAAATGCCCCAAAGCCTGCCACAAGCCCAAAGCATCTTCCAGTGGGGACCCACAGAAAAGGATCAGAAACACCCAGACAAGTCCGGAAGGAAAAGAGCAAAATCAAGATAAAAGCTGCCATTGTCTCCTCCCCACAGTTCTCACCCACATCTTTGTCACCCAGTCCACGACCAAAAGGCAAGCGCAGTTTTTTCACGTGTCTCTAGGCTCCATGCGCCTCCTCCAGGTCTCCTGGCTCCATCCTGCCTCCTTCCTTAGTTTCCTCTGCAGCTTCTTCTCTCCCTGCTCAGCTCTACCCTCCCTTGGGTGGGGCAGGAAACCTGGAACCTCCCCCTTTCCTGGGGACCACCCTGTTACAGAACCAAGGCACACCTCAGAATTGCATGAAAGATAAATTGGAGAAATGCAAATGATCACAGCCCTCTTTGCCAGTCGAAGCATTAACTGTGACTCCTTTGAGAAACCAGAGACCATGCTGGTGAATTCCATTAGCCATCAGAACCAGAATCAGCTCTTCCCACCCAAGCTCTGGATGGGCCAAGAGGCAATGTGGGTCTGCTACTCCTAGGCAGTCTATTTGGCCACCATTTTGTCACCTAAACAAGGTCAAAGTGGTCTGGCCAGTTAGGAACAGGAGCCCAACCCTTAAGCCCTTCAAATCAAACAAGAGAACAAAGCTGGATCACACTGGGAAGGTTATGCATCACAAGATATGTCCAGAATGCCCTGTGGGCCGAGGACTGATGTATGACAAGGGACCCCAGAAGCTGATCAGTGGAGCGCCTTGTTGATAAGATCAGAACCATGGCTGGGGATTAGGGTGTATCATCAAGTAGATTAGAAGTGCCTGGAGGGCAGACTCACAATCCCTAATCTTCTACACCCTTCCCCTTTCTTTAATCTCCTTAATTTCCTTATAACCAATTACATGTGTGAATAAAAGGCCAGGATCTTGCTCTTCAGCAGCATCCTGCATTGTGCAGCCTGCTCCACAACTCCCATTTGTCAGTGTGGTGTTGTCCGACGCAACAAGGTAGCAAAAGCACGGGAACAGGAAGTGAGAACCAATCATGTCTGTAGGCTCCCCTTCCACAAAGCCCTTCTACCTCAACAATCCCTGGGGGTCCCTGCCCCAGACTTTGGGAACAGATGCTCTCAGAAATTTTGGAGCTTCTCTCCTCCCCAGCTAGCCTCAGAATGACCAGGCTCCCAGCTGCTCCCCCTCTAAATCCTGCCTATGGAGGAGGGAACTGCTCCCACATGGCCCCTGACAACAACACTGTCCTTGACCAAACTCTAGTGAGGCTCCTCCAAGCCCTCTAGGACTCCACCCAGAAATCCATCCCTGCTGGGCCTGCGTGGCAGGAATCTTTCTAGTTAGTTTGGCTAGAATCCCCCACCCTTGATATCTGATCACCTTCAATATCTGATCAAATTCCTCACCCCCTCCCTGGGTATCTGATGACTCTGGCGTCTAGTAGGTTTAAGTAGGACACTCCCCAGTCCTGTCTTTCCTCTTAGTAATTTTCCATCCACTGACCCCCACCCTCACTATGAATCCCCACTTGTCCATGCTGTATTGAGACTGGAGCTCAGTTCTATACTAAGTCTCTTCTTCCCTATTGAAAAATCAGTTTTAAAATTCTTTCCAGCTCTGTTAGTTATTAACAGCCACCACAAGCCCTGCCCAAGGGGTCCTCTTGACAACTAAAACCTCTCTCTTCCCAACCTCTAGCAAGGTGGAGATGCCAGGCAGCACATGACAGGGGGAAAGACCCTACCTCAATGAACTTTAGGCCCCAGGGCCACTTTGACAGCCAACTCAGCTCAGAGGCTCCTCCTCAGCCCACTGCCCGCCACTGCCTCCCTGTGCTTTCTTTCTGCCAGACAGGGTCAATCCCCTGAGAGGCGGCGGCCATCCTGGCTGCTCTCCCATGACCCAGGAAGAGGACCCTCTCGGGGTAGGACCCTCTCTGGGTGCGACCATCACACGACCTAGAGGCTCCAGGTAAATAAGCCAAAAAAGGGTGACAAAAGCACAACCGAGTTCAGGGTGGAATGACCAAGGCTCCCACATCTAGCCCCCAGCGTCAGAAGTGTAAGTACAGCAAGAATGGCTTCCCGTCCAAGGGCCCCTCCCAGGACTCCAGTCCCGACACAGTCTCCATCTCTAGCCTCTTCTCTGGAATCTTCCATCTTGCAGCCCTGGTTGGCGGGGAGAGTCCAGAGGAGCGATCAAGCTGCAGGACCTTACCTGGTAGTGACACTCAGCCGCTCCCCTCACCACCTCCCACCCGCCGCCCCGCCTCAGGCGAAGACTCTGGACTGAACCCCGGGCTGATGCCCTGGAGGGATGGGGGGTGATAGACGGGGGAGGGGATGGGGGCAGAGCACGGGGAGGGGGAGGGCTGGAGGGTGTGGGGGGAGGGGTGAGAGGCAGGTGGGAGCGGGGCCCGCGTTGGAGCGGCTCGGTGGCCAGTAGGGGGCGCCCGGGCTCCTCCCCGGGCCACCCGCCAGCTGCCGCCCGACTCCCAGTTCCAGGTCCCGACCCACCCAACCGGCCTGGAACTGCGGCTGCCAACTCACCACCCCACCTCCAGCTCCCGAGAGCTCTATCCTCCCGGGAGCCGCCCTGCACCTGCCAGGGGTAGGGGTCTGGAGCCGAGAGAAAAATGGCGTCTTTGCTCGCAGCCCGGATGTCCTACCGCAGGGGAGCGAGACCCTGGGGAAGGAGACCAGGCAGGGACCAGGCACAAAATTTTAGGTGTCAAAAGACTCTGTCATCAAGATAGCATTTTAGTACGTTTTTAAATCAGGATTAATACCAAAAAATTATCAAAAATTCCAATAAAGGCGGGTTTCAGGAGAGCCAGCCTGACTTTCCTGCCCTTCAGAAGGTGCATTGTTCAAGGTCCAGTAGTTAGTTGCCTAACCATGTCCCAGCCCTGCTGTATTAGGGAGGAGACAGGGTCCTGTGCGTCTCAGGAAACTCCATGATAGGGACATGGACTCAGGCCGAGGCAGACTGTCGTCATAAAGTAGAAAGCAGCATCTTCTCCACTGAAGATGCAGGCAAGGTCAGCTGCCCACATTCAGATGTGACTGTCCCTATCTCTAGGAAGGATTATCTCCCCAACACAAACTCCAGATAAAGTTTTTACCACTAACCTTCTCTGCTAATGATAGGGCATCCACCCTGAAGAGGTCACAGGCACCAGATCACAGGTTCCACAGATGGAATGAGCTCACTGAAAGAGTGAAGAACTCCAACCCTCTAGTTACACTGGGTAAAAACTGCTTAACTAAAGTTTCCACCCGTTTCTCCGAGAGCAGCATACATATAGATCCTGTCCCTGATGCTGACTCCCTTGTGCTGAGTTGCACAAGCTTTCATAAATCCTTACTTGGCACCCACAGGATTAGAGTCTCTATTATTTCTGTTTCTCAGAGCACTCAAGAACCCAGGATCCAGGGAGCGCCCTAATGGCTCCCGCATACACCTCCCAACTCAGTGGGTAAACACGGAGGCAGCTTGGGGTCAGTAGCAAGCTAGAATTTATGGACTCCACCTTCTTTCGCTTTGTGTTGTGTTGCCCCTAACAGCCCTCCTTGGCTCCCACACCCACATCCCCCAGGGCTCCCGCCTCTCTTCTTTCGTGGTATCATTACTAAGGTAAAAAAACTGAGCGCCCACTCCCTGCCCAGCAGACAAGTTTGGGAGGCTTAACTGGATAAGGGGAGTGGATGGGACTGCCTTGGGAACCGGGCCAGGAAGCTGATAATCCTCCTGTGTCAGGACATGTCCAAAGCCAGATATCTTAGCCAGTCACTGATGCCTGGCGTCTAGGGCCTAGGGACCGTCTAGGCTCTCCCATCACACCTGCTGCTTGGCTCAGGAGTGTATTTCAATAAATTCCTTTTCTGTTCTCCATCTGTCTCTGGTGAGTTCACACACACACACACACACACACACACACACACACACACACCCCTCCAGCCTACACTCTTTTTGATTCTCTCCCACAACATCTTCCACTCTAGTCATTTCTCCAGTGTCTCCTGGCCCCCCTTGGCTTATGACAATGCCTATCCTGCTTTAGAAGTTGCCCAGTGTTGCATGAGTCCTTTCCACATCAGTGAGTACCAGGTTCTTGGGGGTGGGGAAAGGTACGCTAGGTGTCAGGTCCTGGGTACCTAGGTGCAGAAGGGGGCCCAAGTAGCAGGCTATATCTGGGCCCTTACTCCATGCTCCCAAGCCAGGTAACCCTAAACAGGCTCACCTCCTGCTCCCTCACAGGGTAGGCTGGCAGATTCTGTCCCAGGAGCTTGGGTTCTTTAGCGATAAGCCCCTGGATGAAGACACAAGCCCACTGCCATCTTCCACAGGCCTTGACATCCTAGGGCAATGAAGCCAGGCTTTGCCAAGGTCCTGTATACTGGTTTCCCCACTCCACTCCCCCCCTGAACCCCTAATCCCCACTTTTGGCTTATATCAGTCATGTGGGCAGGACTGGGCAAATAGAACCACATACTTCCCTGCCATCTATAGCTCACAGCCAGTCATATCCCACCCCATGGGGGTCTTCACCCTAAGATCCTTCCCTTTATCCTTACCTACACTCCCTCCTTCAAAGAATTACACCAGCTGGAAATAAACCCATAAACCAAAGGAATAATAGTGCAATCTCAGGCACTGCAACATATTTGGGGACAGGTGGCCACCTGTTCATCCCTTACTGAGTCCAGCCTCTGACACAATGACATACCTGGGGGTTGGCCCTTAGAAGTACCCCATGCCAGCTGGTGGCCCTTCTATAACACTCAGCACCCTAGTACCTCACACGCTGAGGTCAGTGAAGGCACCAGTAGCCTATCATTTCCTGGAGGAATCCCCAGGACCTTGCACAGAGAACGGGCCCAACAAATTCTTCTTGTTCATGACTGCCTGTAAGACACTGTGCCATGGGGAAATGTCCCAGGCTTCAGCCAGTCCTGGCTATGACTCTGCCAGCTTGAGGCACATCAGCCAAATGCCTGTGGTTACATCAGCAAAACAAGTGAAGAGATAAAGAACCAACAAGGTGATGGTTCACCGTGTGTGGCAGGCAGGAGGCCCCAACAATGTCAGTTCCCTTCCCTAAAGACCGAGGCAGTACCTGCCACTTGGAGCCCTCTTGCATGTCAAGAATTTGTTATATTTTAGCATTGCTTTAAAAAAAAACCACCAAGAATCTAAGGGGGGAAGTCATGGTGGAGTTGGGAGGAAACACTGAAGAGAAGATCAGGTACCTTTAGAGAAAAACCAGCATTTCCCTTATGCACAGTGCTGAGACCCTGTCCCAAAGTTCAGAGCCCAAGATGTGCAGAGATGTGGTTCTTGGAATCAAGCCCTTAAAAACCAGTCCAGCTTCATGGAGCAGGAAGCCCCCAAGCTGCAGTCTTGAGGTCTGTAGGCAGCAGACAGCTGAGATATGTCCATGGCTGCCAGCAGATCCAGTGGGCAGTGTCTCCACTGTCTCTGTCCTTAGCCCAGGGGCAAATCCATGGCTCAAGGCCCACTCTGACAGCTACAGCTCATCACTCAGGGGCTGCACTGGAACAGCCACAGCAGCTGGGGCGCCGCAGGGACTGCATGACAGCTCGCAGTGGCCCCCTCCGGCCCTCTGCAGACAGACTATCTTCACTGGGGGGCACCCGCTGCAGTTGCTCAAACTGCATCTCCAGGTGCTTCTGGATGGCCACACCAAGCACCTCAGGGTCCACAGCAGCTCCATACACCTCCCATGTCATGCCCTCAGCATCCCATCGCACATCCCGTACAGGGGATGGTGCTTCCTCTGGGCTAGACTCCAGAGCTACCTCTGGAAATGTGTGCAAGGCCACAGGGGCTTCCAGGGGTGGACTGGTGGCCACAGCCTTGCAGGTGGCTATGGGAGCCACCTGCACACCAGCATCCTGGGATGACGGAGGAGATGCCCACGTGGGGGCCAAGTCACTGGCTGAGGTCATGGTACACACATCCTTGGTCCTAGAGCCAGGCTCTGTGGCTAACCTGGTAGGACCCCAAGGGTGGGCACAGCAGTGGGAATGCCCAGGAAACCCTCCAGGCAATGTACACTGAAACTTCACCCCATGCTGAGCCTGCAACCCAGATTCACTCACTGATGCCACTAGTTTGGGAAAGGTCAGGATCCGTCGGGCAGGCAGGGCATGGCAACAACCACCAGCTCCCACCTCCCTCACGCCACAGAGTAGAGCTGCTGGGGGGAGGGCATGGCAGGAGGTGGTGGCCAGCTGCCCAGTGGTTTTGGGCATGGCCAGGGGGCTGCTGCTGTGGGCAGTTGTGCTTCCCAGGTCTCCCAGGTCTAGTGGCGGCACCCACACCTCTCCCAGGGTCCAGGCTGAGTCTGAAGTTCCATCCTCCGGACCCAGGTCCCTTTCCAGACCTGAAGGGTCCTGGTCTCCCTGCCCAGCAGTACTGCTAGGCTGCAGACGAGTCCTGTGGACCGGTGAGCTGCCAAGGGCTGAGCAGCTGAGGCTGGCCTTCTGAGCACCACCGGGGCCCCGGGTCTGGGTAGTACGGACCAGGTCCGAGTGACTCCTCTGCACAGCAGTGGCGCTGGGGGCCCGCAGGCAACACAGGTCCCTACCACCCACAGTGGACACATTGCCCACAGTGCTGCTCCGCCAGTGGCCCACAGCACTGGGCCGGGGGCTGGAGGCCTGTGCCTGCTCCACGCTCTCAGTCTGGTGTCCCTCTTCCTCCAGGACCCTGGGACTGTCACCAGCTTCAACTGGCTGGGCCTGCCACACAGTGCTGCTGGCAGTCTTGCGGAGCTCTGGTCTCTGCCCCCGGCCTTCACTCAGCAGGCTTGAAGAGCTCCGGGACAAGGGCTGTGAACGGGGGCTCAGAGGTGTCCGGGCATCTGGCTTGGGGTTGCTGGTGCTCATGGCTGCCTGCTGGAGAAAGAGGAGGGATTGGAGTTGAGTTAGGTGGCAGCACCTCAGTGGATTCTGCTGTGAGCTCACATGGTGCTAGACACTACGAGGGGACAGCTTCAGTCCCAGATGCCGAAGGGTCACAGCCACACACAAAACAGGTACAGGACGTCACACTTCAAATCAAAGTCATCACACATGCACAGGGATGACATAACAAACATCTGTAAACAGTACAGAATCATTAGACTCAGTCCTAGAGTAGGGTCCTGAGGCCCTCCCACCATGCCAGCTATTGATTTTATTGTTCGACATGGAGAGGGAGGTGAATCCAGGGCAAAAGCCAAGTCCACTGGGGCTTTGGGGGCAGGCCCTTTGGTACAATAGCTCTTTTTTTTTTTTAAAGGTTTATTTATTTATGCATACAAGAGCTGGGGCACAGGCCAGAGATGCTGGGGAGGGGGGTTGGCGGTGAGAGGATTCACCAGAGACAGAGTGGGGAACAGAACAGGAGAACAGGCAGACTGACTGAACACTGCTGAGGGGAGCAGCGGGCAAGACAGGAGAGGTCTGCTGCGCCATGTGAGTTCCTCTCTCTGCCGGGGATCAAGCTCATGCTGCAGAGGCTGCGGATTGCTTCATAGTGCGATGCTTAACCCCTTGCACGACCAGGGAGGCCCTGGTACAACAGTTCTTAGTCCGTATTTTAATAACCAGTGATGCCCAGTGGGTAAATACTAGCCGGGTTCCTCCCAGGACTGTTAGTAGCCATCTCAGTCTGCACTGGGGCCTCCTTGTACAGAGGCTGGGAGGAGGTGAGGGGGATGAAAAAGCAATGAATAGAAGACACCATGAGGACCTCACTGAGTTCTCCCATAACACCTCTCCTCCCCCTCTGGCCTAGCCTGGCTGAGCTGTCATGTCTCCAGGACTCAGTCTTGGAAGCTGGAAAGGAGAAAGGAGCTCCCTGGTTGCAATCTCTGCTTCCAGGCAAGGGAGAGGGCCTCACATCAGTTCTTCATGCACTGATGGCATTTGTTCATTCCACAGCTATCTCCTGAGAACTACAGCATGCCAGCATCATCTCTGGCTGAGCACTGTCTGGCCTGGATGGAAGAGTCTGGCCAACTGCGAGCCTCCCACCAGCCAGAACCGGTCAAAGTCAGCCTTGTGGCCTGTCCCCCACTGTCTGCCCAGCATCCAGCATTGACCTGGCACACAGCTGGCATTCAGAGAATGTTATGACAGAGAGAATAAGTGAATACAACAGTAAACCCACAGAGGAAAGGGCTGAGTACCAAAAACAGGGTCTGAAGGAGAGAGGGTGTCTTTAAAGCAGGGGAGCTCGATTTGTGTGACGATCAGAATAGTCTTCCTGGCGGACCAGCCATAAGAGTCCTCAAGGCCTGAGGGAGAGGAACGAGAAGCTGCCTGAGGGTAAGGAACTAGGTGAGCAGAAGGTGGAGGTCCTATGGTCAGAGCACAGGAGAGGAGCAGCAGGCTGGGGGCAGGGAGAGGGCCCAGAGGGAGTGAGAGGGGTCAGGGGAGCTGGGACTGTTATCAGGTGTGTATCAGGAAAACCACCCTGGGACTCCCTGCCAGGCAAGACTGGCTGGAGAAACAGGGTGGGGGCACAGGCAACAGTCACAGTTTGGGCAATCCTAGTCCTGCCCTCCCAGCCCTGGGCTGATAAGAACTACCAGGAAACCAACTGCTCTGGCCAGGGGAGAAAGGCCACATGAAAGGGGATGTGGGAAGGCTTTCTCAGGAACTCAGTTTCTGCATAATTACACACACTGGCCTTCCCGGGGCTCAGGAGGTGGCTGGCAGCTGTTCGGGCCAAGGTGCAGATGTTTCTGGAGCAGCAGTCCTCCAGGAGCTCAAGGTTTACTGCAGAGTCCAGCTCAGCACACCTCTTGTGATGCTGGAAGGATTCTACTTGGCACCGTCCACTTGGGACCACTTGGCAGGTCACTAATGTGACCGAGAAACTGAATTTCTAATTTTACTCAAACTAACTAATTTCAACTTCAATGGCCACGTGGGCTGATGACTACCATACGGTCCTAGCCTGGACAGGAATGTCACACTGGTCTCTAGAGGAATGAGGAAAAGGAGTAGGCAAGAGAAGACTAGGACCCAGGCCCTGCCCTCCAGAAGTTCTAAGGTAGACATAGGGACAGAGAAGGATCACAAAGTCCTAACAATCACAGTGAAAATAATAATAGCTTATGGTACCCAGTTACCCACCATGAGTCGGGCTCGTGCCACATTCTTTCCAGCATTGTCTTAACTGGTTCTCAGAACAACCACATAAGATAAGCATCAGGGCCTCTCTGGTGGTGCAGGGGTTAAAGACAGCCCAATCAAGCTATCACCAGCCACTGCAGCATGAGTTTTATACCTAGCCAGACTGCTAACCCACATGGCACAGCAGACCTCTCCTGTCTCACCAGCTGCTCCCCTCAGCAGTGTATTTCAGTAGATCGGCGTGTTCTGTTCCCCACTCTGTCTCTGGTGAAACCTCTCACCCTCCCCCCAACACCTCTGGCTTATACCCCGGTTATTGTATGCATAAATAAATAAATCTTTAAAAAAAAAAAAAAGATAAAGCATCATCCCCATTCTAGGGCCAAGGAGGCCAGAAGAGCAGAGAGGTTTAGTGACTTCCCCAAGGGCACAGCTGGCGAGTGGCTAAACCTTCCTGCCTGAGTGTCTTCAGGTGGTCGGTCACCTTATCTCTTTGAGCCTTAGTTTCCCCAATCTGCAAAATGAAAGTAAATCTCGCCCTGCAGGATTATTGTGAGGACTAAACATGATGGCATATGAACTGTCTAGAACTGATATTGTTAATGATAATCTGTCTCCCTCCTTCCCATCAGGAGTAACTTGTGCTAAAGCTATCATTGCATGAAAAGGTCTTTTAGGAAGTCAGAGACACCCTAGTGTCTAGTCTCACTTCCCAATCCTTTCTACCTTCAGCCAATCATGGACCTCGTCATCCCCAGCATAGATAAAGTCCCATTCTACACTGAGTTAACCAGCCTATTTTAAGCCTTAATTTGGGAGGATGCACATGCATGTACATGCATGCACGCGGGCACACGTGTGCACACAAGCTTGGGTTCTTCATTGCAAATGCCCAGACTCGCAAGCCCACAGACCTTAAAAACCATGGGAATGGCTATGGCTCTACTTTCACCTTAAAGAGCCCTAGAGGAATGAGGAAAAGGAGTAGGCAAGAAAAGTAGTAAGATGCTTTAGCACAATATAAAGGACAGTCATGTAGCAATATCTAAATCCTTAGTTCTTTGGGTGACACCTTACGTTGTCTCTTACACATTTGACGCCAATCAAACCTGTGATCCAGGCAATGTCCTGTGACCTCAAGGCTGCTTGTCGGTAAGTGAAGATTCAGTGAGCCTCACATGCAGCAATCAACCAATGTCATTTTGAATAAAAGCTCCCATTTCTGCAGAAACTTCCAGAATGGTCCATCCAAAGAGACAATTAGATCAGCATAATTAGAGATTCTGTCACTCCAACAGAGAAGTCCAGGCCTTTGAGGATGTGCGGGGACTATTAAGGTGACCACATGTAGGCCCCATCTCTGACCACACGTGGCATCCAAATAAATCACCTTTCATTAGGATAGGTAACTGAATGATGACTTCTGCTCAGAAAAACTAAAATAGGTAAAGCAAACCCACATGGTCATGAGGGAAAACTGTCTAAATGTTAAAAATAGCCTGACACCTCGGCACCAGGTAGGGTTGCACACCCCACAAATCCAAATCCATAGTAGGGGGGTGGCAACCTCCAGCAGGTGGTCTGACTCATCCCCGCACCACAAGGGGGCTAGCAAGGGAGCTGAAAGTCAAAATTGCACAAGGCAACTAAGAGCACACCTGAGCTACTGAAGAGTGTTTGGAGGGGACAAAACCAGCCCATCACAGAAAGGATAAAGGGGCCTTACAAAGGAGATGCCTCAGATCACAAGCTGCACCGAAAAAAGATTTGGGAGTAACAGTGCAACAAGGTCTCAAGGACTTGGCTCTCTCACCAGAAAGGTCCAGGTCCCCAGCAGCCCCAGCTCTTCCTCCTCAGAAAAGGATTTGCTCCTACATTCCAAGAGACACCTAGAGTGAAGAATAAGCCTCCCCACCCAGCTGCCCAAAACCAAAAGCTTCCCAGGTGGCTGGTGTGTCCCCACCTTCAAGCTCACAGCCACCCATGGACTGATGCACCAGCAAAGGCATGCTTCCCACTTTGGACACACAAAGGTAGAACCACAGGTCCCCAGTGCTGTGGGAGCAGGCAGGAAACAGCATCTGCACAGCTGCACTCTGCACACCAATCGAGCTGTCTCTGGCTGCTAAACCAAAGGCCTGAACACAGCACACCATACACTCTCCCCCAGGGCTATGCTCTGTTCCCTAGGCCCACCCAGATTCAGGGAGAAATACTCCACACTGAAACTAAGCTACCGACCTTCCCAGCAGCAGAGGCAGTGGCTGGACACGGATCTGCGGGGCAGGAGAATGCGGGCAGGGAGATCTGGGCTAGGGGCGGTGGGAGGCGAGTGGGGTGGGAAATGGCGAAGGGAAAGGGGCGCAGGAATGCGAAAGAGAAACCACAGGAGTACGAATGGGGGCAGACAAAGTCGGGGCCCTGGGCTAAGTATTGAAAAATGGGAGGATGGGCAGATGAGCTAAGAGGGGGCCGGACAGGCGGCGAGAAGAGACGGGAGGAAGGATGCTGCCATGGGGAGCGCGGAGCGCCGGGCAGGGATGGGAAGGGGCTGAGCGCAGGGCGAGGCGGAGAGCGGGGTTCCGCCGCGCTGGGAGTGGGGCGCCGACCACCCCCCCCAACCCCCTGCACCCGCGCACACGGAGACGCCCTCTCACCCTCTCGCCCACCCGAGGGCAGCGCGGGTCGTTGAAAGCGCTGCTCCTGCGGCCTCCACAGGTGCCAGCACTGCGGCCCAAGATGGAGCCGGGGCCAGACCCGGCCTGGGCCCAAGACGCCACCAGCCGCCGTCCGTCGGACCGCGAAGCCCGCGCCGGGGAGGGCCGAAGGGCGGCTCGCGGCCGGGGACCCGGGGAGGCGGGGCGGGGGGCGGTGGCCCTGCTCACCTGGGCCCGCCCCCGCGCTGCTCCGCCCGCCGGCCGGCGCCCAGGCCCCGCCCCCTGGCCGAGCCCCGCCCCCTGGCCGAGCCCCGCCCCCTGGCCGAGCCCCGCCCCCCGCCCCCCGGGCCCTCCGTCCGCGTGTCCGCCTCCGCCCATCAGCCCTTCCCTCGGGCTCCCCGCCTCTGCCCCCAAGTCCCCGGTCCTCCCTCGAGTCCCTCCTCACGCCGGGCCTCCACTGTTCCCTGTCTTTCTGCGCTGCTCCCACCATGAACCCCTTTTTTATAGGCTTTCCCAACAGTGTACTCGTCTTCCACCCGACCCCGCCGTCCCCAAGACCCAGGCTCCGCTCCCCAAAATCCTCCAGCCCCAGACCCAACCCCCAGGCCCCTTCCTCAGAGCCCCCCTGCTCCCCTCCAGCTCCGCGCCCCGCACCGTGGCCCACCAGCCCCCTGGTGACCTCCTTCCCCACCACCCGGCCCCCGTCCGCCGTCATCCCGGCTCCGCCCTTCGCAAGCGTCGGGCTCGTGTCCTGGAAACCCCAGGCCCCAGGACCCACTCCCTCAGATACCAGGCCTGCTCCCTCCCGGTCGCAGCCCGACGGACCCCCGTCTCCAAGCCCGGGATCCCACAGTCCCATCCTCTCAGCACCGCAGACTCCGAGACCGAGACCGATCCCTGTTTTTTCAGCTCCGCCTCCAGGGCCCCTCCGCGCTCCTGGTCTTGTCCTCAGAGGAAGCGACCCGACTCCCACTACCCCTGCCTCTCAGACCCATCCCCAGAGTTGGGGCCCTGCTCCAAGCCAAGACCCCAGTTCTCCCACCCCTTCCCGGCCCCTTCCCTCTCCCACTTCTACCTCCTCCTCCCCAAACCAACCCCCAGCCCATTCCCAGGTGCTCAGAGCCTGCAACACTTTCCATGGCTCCCTACAGCCCCCAGACCCCCCTCCCGCACCCTATCCCTGGAGCGTGCCCAGACCCACTGCCCTTTGCTGGCAGGGGGGCCTTAGCACTCGGTTCCCTCAACATCCCCCAATCTCCAACGGTCACTATCCTGCTTCCCGTGCCCTGACTCCACAAAAGTCCGCTAGCCCAGGCTAGTCCCCGCCCCTTTCACCCTGGAGGGGTTTCTACCACCCACCCACTGGAACAGGCGGTAAAAGGAGCTTGTCTTATCTCTGGACCCCCATCACCCATGAAGACCCCCATCACGCCATCCAAATGTTGACCCTCCGCCATTAACCCCAGCTTCCAGGACCCCTGACCTCCTTCCCCAGACCTTTATGGAGGGGTGTGCACCCCTTCTGTCCAGTGGCCTGAAAGCCCAGGCTTCTCTGCTCCTCCAGTTTGAAAAGATCTCAGGTCCCAGCCTCACCTCTCTGGCATCTTCATGCCCTGTCCTGTGGCATGAAGCACTAGGGGCGGCCTACAGAAAATTCCCCAGGTCCTTGGAATGGAGGCCCAGGCAGAAACAGACACTCTTCATTCCCCCCACCCCACCCCATAGTCCCTAGCCTGGCACCTAACCCAGAGCGGGGATGTGACTCAGACCTCACACATAGCGGCATATTCTCTGCAGGCTTGGAACCTCTTCCAGCCTTGGTGCCCGGTCCGTAGCTCTGAACTGCCCTCCATCAGATTGTATCATGGATGGGGAGAGACAACATGGTCTCCTTGGACCATGAGAGGAACACCAGGCCAAATACCTCTAAACATGCCCACACCCACCAGTACCACACACCATATACTTTCCCCAGAAAGTGGTGGCTGGGTGGCCAGACACAGGCATGTTGTGACAACTGGTCATATTTGACAGGCAGGGAGAAGACCCCATTAAGAGGGAATGGCTAAAGAACAGGAAAGAGAGGGACTCACTGGTGGCATAAAGTCCCCAAGGGACTGAGGCCAGAACATGTTAAACAGGAGTAGGGGCAGCTTCTCTACATAATTGCAGATCAAAAAGAAATGATGGGGTAGGACCTTGGTAAGTCCTAAGTTTGGAATTGAAGTTTAATCGTTTCTGTTTCCTTATTTGATGGTTTCTGTTTTCTCTGTGAAATAAAAGGTCAGATCATGTGCTAAAACCTTAAGGGAAGATAGGAAGGTTGGAGGGGTAAGGAGAGAGGGGGAGGTTTGAAATAATCCTTGCAGGAAGATGGCCAGGCCAAATTGGGACCCACAGAAGATTTGTGACCAGCAGGATTACCCCCAGAAAGAATCTTCATCAGAGAAGAGCAAGTTTTAGTTAGGACTCGCAGTTGTAAAAGAGAGAAAAGAGAGTCAAAGGCCATAGCATTCTGGAGGCTGTCATCAGGGGGACACGGTCCAGCTGGCTGGGCGCTTCTTGGGTCACCAGCTGAGCCTTGGCTTACCAAGTGTCAGTTGAGTTTGTATCCAGAATTACTCCACTGTACATGTTATGATTTAATTAAATAGCACATGAACTGATGGAATATGGGTTTGAAAAGGAAGTTTTGTTCCTGTGAAAACTAGGTTAAATGCTTTGGAACGCGAGTCACAAACAACTGCTGTCAAGTGTGGGAAAGGCAAGTTGAAAAAGAATGGGAGGAAAAGCATCTAGAAATATTCTGAATCAGTTTGCTTCCCTTCTGTCTTTAAGTTAACTGGCCCGCATTAGCATTAACCAATTATCAGACCTGACTATGCATAGAGAGGCTAGTATTGTAGAGTTGAGACAAATAAGATAATGTGCTGAATCGAGCTTCAGGCATTGCTAAAGCCAAAGGCTCAAATGATGTGGACTGGGCTGGGTCTTGCACTTCTTCCTCCTGACTCCCTCTGGGTTAGTCATTCTTATATAGGCCCTTTCCTCCTGGAAAGTAAAGTGGCTGGCACCCCCTAAACTGCATCTCTAGATCTGAAAATCAGATCTTACTAGTCTTGCTTGACAATTCTAACCAGGGGAGAGAGTTCTTCAATTGACTAGCTTGAGTCATGTGCTCTTCCCAGTAGGGTGGAGACACTGCACTGTGGCAACCCCCACCAGAGAGTGGGGGCCGCACCAGCCCCCAGTTCCAGAGAGTGCTGCAAAGACAAAATGCTGTAGGGAAAGTGACAATGAGTTGGCCCAAAGCACAGAGGATCACTGGGAGTCTCAGCAAATGAGGTTTTTGTGTTTTTTTATTTTTGAGATAACCTTGGTTTACAAGGTTATCTCATATGATTTAGGGGACTAGTATATGATTTAGGGGACTAGTTTCACACATCAGATGTCACCATACCACACCAACCACCAAAGCACCCATGGTCAGAAAGAAGATTCTTTGTTTTTTAAAGATTTATTTATTTATGCATACAAGAGCTGGGGTACAGGCCAGAAGTGTGGGAGGTGAGAGGATTCACCAGAGACAGAGTGGGGAACAGAACAGGCAGACTGACTCAAATACACTGCTGAGGGGAGCAACAGGTGAGTCAGGAGAGGTCTGCTGAGCCATGTGGGTAGCTCCCCAGCCGGGGATCAAACTCACACTGCAGTGGCTGTGGCGAGCTTCATAGGTTGCATCTTAACCCCTTCTGCCAGCAGGGAGGCCTCAGAAAGAAGATTCTTAAAGTAGAAATGTGAGTGTGTCATCAAGGCATAAAAGGGAGAGAACTTTGACTAAGTGAATTGTATCTGTTTTTCTGACAAAAATATCCCTGGAGTGTGAGAGAGAGTTATAGCCATTAAAATTCTGACATATAATGGATGCTCACTGAATAAATGGATGCATGGATAGGAATCAGAGCGTGAAGGAGGGAAGGAGAGAGGGAGGAAAGAAGCCATGAAAGATAGTGGACAAAGAGGGAGGCACCAGGGCCCAGAAGAAAGGTCATGGAAAGAGCGCTGTCATCCAAGGTATTTGCTCCCCTTAGAGAATCTTAGCGATTTCTGACCCTCCAGAACTTACTCAATGACTGCAGTCAACAAGTGACTATAATGGGCTGTCATTTTCCCTTCTTGTGGATGAGTTTCCTACTTTGTTACACTACTCTACCAACTACTGTGTACCAGGTGAGATGAGGCAGAGAGCTTGTGCATGCAACTACAGTGAATTACCTCACCCAGCCCCACCAGTGCAAACTATCCTTGTGCTGAGAGCTGGGTGCAGGCAATGGACAAAACTTTGGGGATTTCTCCCCCAGGAAGAGGACATTTAAAACTTTGGAAAAATGAGGCACGCATATATTTAGTTGGTCAAAGGATAGAATGGAACTGAAACATCTCGTA